ACAAAATTCTGACATAGAGGATTCAAGACTGTGATTTATAGTTTTTAAAGAAAACCCATAACATAATAATACATATCAAATTTAAAAAGTGACAGATGTTAGAACCCTAATTTGAAGATAGTAGAAGTAAACAACAAATGCTGGAGAGGCTGTGGGGAAAAAGGAACTCTCCTGCACTGTTGGTGGAAGTATAGACTGGTGTGACCACTGTGGAGATCAGTCTGGAGACGCCTCAAAAAGATGAGATTGGAAGTCCCATTCGACGCAGCTATTCCACTTCTAGGCATATTCCCAGAAGAACTGAAAACATCATACCACAGTGATATATGTGCACCTATGTTTATAGCAGCACAATTTGTAGTAGCCAGATCTTGGAAACAACTTAAGTGTCCATCAACTGAGGAATGGATAAAAAAGTTGTAGTATTTTTATACAGTGGAGTACTACTCAGCTATAAAGAAGGATCACGTTGAGATATTTACTAATAAATGGATGCAACTTGATACCATACTCACAAGCGAAATAAATCAAACTCACATGTATAAATACTGTATAGTCTCCCTAGTGTAAGAAATGGTAAGCGTACATAAGAGTTTATGGTAATCATGATTCCCTATTACATTGCTTTGAAGCCTTATAATGTTTGCATTCATTAGTTGGAATGGTTTTCTTTTGGTTTGTTTGATTTTATTATCTGTGATGGTATGAACAGCTATTTTGCAGAAAACAAGACATTATAATAGCCAGTGCTGATTTAATATCATCTTACTCTGAAGTCCTACCATGCTTTTGCTCTTCTGTTTCCATTGGCTCTATCATGTTGTATCTTATTGGATTGTGTTACATGTGAAAGTATAAATAAATTTTCTATAGAAAATGAGATAATATAGTAGCCATTGTTTGTTCTCTGTTATTTGGTTCTGAATACCCTGTAATACTTTGATTCTCTTGAATGGTTTTATACTATTTTGTTATGTTTGATACTATTGTATATGAAGTTATGCTAAACTATTTCAAAGAAAGAGACATTATGGTAGCTATTGTTAATTACAGGTTGTCTTATGGTGAAATACTGTGTTGCTTACATTGTTCTGATCTGCTTTGTTATGTGCTTTTTTGTCTTAATCTCTTTAAAATTAAAACAATTTAAAAAAGATAGTAGAAGTAAGGATTACCACACTGGGTATGATATTGTTACATATAAGATTGAAAAAAGTCATAATCTTATTACACATGGAATATCTCAAGTACAACGGAAAGTACTTAATGAAATTAAAACTAATCAGTCCACTTGAGAATTATTCTAAAGTATGGCTGATATGGTTTGAATGTATATATGGTTCTTGTATTAGAAATTTAATCTAAAAAAAGAAATTTAATCTCTAATTAAATGGTGTTGAGAAGTGAGATCTTTAAGAGGAAATTAATTAGTCAGAGGGCTTTCATGACTGGACTTATGTTGTTATCATAGGAATGACTTTGTTAACATAAGAGTGGGGTTTGTTACGAAAGTGAGCTTGGCCCCTTCTTGTGCTCTCATTCTCTTGCCCTCCTGTCTTATGCCATAAGCTGATACAGTAAGAAATCCCTTTCCAGATGTCACTCCATCATAGGGGCTTCCTCCTCCATAAGCATGAATCAAATAACTTTCACTATAATTTACCCAGTCTCAGGTATTCTATTATAGTAGGACAAAGGGCCTAAGACAGAAAATTGACCTTGAGACATATGAGTGTTGCTTTAGCAAATATCTAAAAATGTGTAAGTAGCTTTGGAACTGGGCAGTGAGTATAGGCTAGAAGCATTTGGAGGAACAGACTGAGGAAGTCTAAGTTCCAAAAGTGAGCATTAAGGGTAATTCTTGTGAGTGTTCAGGAGAGAACAGTAAAGTAAATCTAGAACATCTTTGAAAAAAAATGTTAGAGGGTTTGGAGAATCAAACTCAGGACCTTGCATTTGCCAGGCAGGGACTGTGCTGCTGCGCTATATCCCTGGCTCCTAACTTTGAAATTATTTAAGTGGCCATGATCACAATGCTGCTAGCAATACAAACAGTGAAGTCCACTCTGATGAGATCTTGGATTCAATTAAGTAATAAGGTAATGAAACTAGAGTTTAAATCCATCTTTGTTATACACTTGCATAGAAGTTGATTAGATTATGTCCCTGTCCTAACATTTTATAGAAGGCAGAACTTAAAAAAATAAACTGTGGTATCTGGCAGAAGCAACACCATTAAGCAGCAAAATATCGAGGAAGCTGTGTGGCGGAGGGAGGAGATGAATTATTTAAAGATAGACTTTTATAATTACAAAAGAAGTGGAACAGAAAGTTTGGTAAAACTATCAGCCTGACCATGTATCTTAGTTCGTTTTCTGAACACCACAGATGGAATAATTTACCAAGAATAAAGGTTTATTCAACTCACAATTTTTATGGTTGGGAAGTTCAAGTTGAAGTTGCTGTATCTGGTGAGGTCCTTCTCTCTGAAGGGGACTTGCTACAAAGTTGCAAGCCAGTAAAGGGTGTGTTAATAAGATAATTACTATGGCCATCTGGGTCCCTGTGATGGTTTAAACGTTTATGTCCCTCTGAAATTCATATTGAAACTTAATGCTTAATACAGCAGTACGAAGAGATAGCTCCTTTCCAAGGTGATTCATCCATGAAGGCTCTGCCCTCATGGATGAAATTAATGCCATTGTGGAAGATTTTGAAGTGCTATGGTGGAACTGGGGTTTGAACCCAGCGTCTTTTCACTGTTACATTCCCACCTTTTAAAATTTTTTATCTTGAAAAAGGATCTCACTAAGTTGCTGAATTTCTCAGACTGGGCTTGAACTTTCCATTTGCTTGCCTTGGCTTCCTAGAGCATTGAGATTACAGGTAAGAACCACCATGTCTGGCAAACTTGAACTAACTTTGTAAATTAGAAATAATTATTTAAAATAAATTATCAAATCAAATTATTGATCGTGTGGATTATGTATAAAATTTCATGGTGATAGAGGATAACAGAAATTTTATCCAAATTTGAATATTAAACTTGGTGTTCCCAAACCTAGTTTTTTGAAGAGAAATGAATCACTGAAAATTCATAGATGAATCCACTGATGAGTTCATAGCTGAATTGAGTTCTGTTGTTGTTGTTGTCTTTTTTTTTTTTTTTTTGGTACCGAACTCACAACCTCACGCTTGCCAGGCAGGAACTTACACCACTAAGCTAAATCTCCGGCCCTGAATCAAGTTCTGTTCAGAAATTTGGGGAGAAGAAAAAATGCTCATTATGGGAATGAGACTTTACACTCTATGAGGAATTACATAGTATGGTCAGGAAAAATATTTAATGTGAATAGTAGATTATTTTACTTTTTAAGGGGGAAAACCCATAATTTTGGTTTAAATTATGGTCCCGGGCTGGCTTTAGCCCAGGGGTTCCTTCGAGTCTGACTTTCCAGCCGCCCAGGCCGATTGGTCTGGTGGTTCGAGACCCGCGGGAGCTCTCCAGTCCTTTAAAAAAAAAAAAAAAAAAAAAAAAAAAATATATATATATATATATATATATAGTCCCTATGTCTTAACTTTTTTGACAGTACTTAGATATAATAAAGCTTTATATTGGAATGGTTCTAAACAATGAGACATCCATTTAATATATTTTCTTACTAACAATCGTTACTTGTGATTGACAAGTTCACTCATGTCTAGGGAGTGAGGAGAGAAGTGGTTAGTATCACTAGGTGATACAAATAAAGAGATTCTATTTGAAATAGAAGACACTATAAAAATATCAGAAAAGATGTTCAAGCTATGCTTCAGAGACTTTTCATTTAAAAATTCATTAGGACACATTTGGAAGAGAGTATTTGAATGTTTAAACTACCGCGGAAAAGGTACCAAAGAACTGAGCAATAGTGGTGACTGGACCATCAGGAGAACTCAAGTTATCCACATGGACCTCAGAAGGGCGCACAGCTCCACAAGAGGCAGGACGCCAGTGGGAGAGGCTGAGGCACCTGTGCAGGACCAGGTAGGGGAGGAGTTTCAAATGCTGACCCAGAGCCTGTTGGGAGAACTTCGTAAACATTTAGCTGTCATGACTCACTCAGGAGTACTTTACCAGTCGACTAGATTTGTGTGTGTTTTAGAAGACAAGCAATTATAATGCTAAAGCACATGTTAGGGAGTCACTAAGCATACTGTACTTGATGTTTAGCAGCACTACCGGAAATTGCTACTCTTTAACTATGAAACTGGGCTCCATCAAAGAAACTCCATCAAGGAAAAAAGGAAGTGGCCCACTGCCTCTGAGGGTCGTTTTCTGAGGTGGGAGGCATCTCGAGACACCTGACTCCCCCGCCCACTCTAGAAATTAGGCAAGGTCCTCTTCCACCTCGTGCAGGTGACATCAGCCCACGTCTCCCGTGTGGTGTTACAAGTTCCCAAAATATTTCTGGACGATTCGTCTCTTTTAATAATTTCCAAGAACCACTTATAATAAAATTACAACGCTTTATGAAACGCAGAATCAGAGATAAGTCGCATTTACATTCTATGTTCAATCTCTACATTAAACCATTCCCAAGAATCATATGGTCGGAGCATCAGGCCCCAAATGAGAGAACATTAAACCAGCAGTATTTTTAAATTAAAAAATTAAAATACTATTCTCTTCAAGCTAAACCCAAGAATTTGGATGAGGTTTCTTTGTCAGGCTTTCCCTGAGCGGAGGCAGGAAAGGCGGGTGTCTGAAGTTGCCTCCTGTAAGGGGGTCGGGGCAGAGAAAGGACAGTAGGTGTCTTTTTTCTCCTCTCCCTTTCGGCGTGGAGGCAGACATATGCGTGGCTGCACAGGCGGACTGCCTGTCCCCCGAGGGCCCCAGCGAGACGACCCGCTGTGGAGACCCGCCAGCGGGGCCCGGGAGCGCGGGTCCGCCCCGATCCCAGGGTGCACCGCGCCCCTCCCCGCTCCGCGCCCCGCCCCTCCGGCCCCGCCCTGCTGGCTCCGGGAGGCGGGGACGCGGCGGCGGCGGCGGCGGCTGCTCCAGTCCCGTCTTTCTCACTCACTGGGGAGCCCGGCGGTGGCGGCACCTTTCGAGGCAGAGCTGCTGAGCTGCGAGCCCGCGCGCTAATCAGAAAGACAGACGTCTTAAGGACTGACGGCAGAGCCGACCGACGCACGGACAGCGGCCAGCCGCGCGGCTAGAGTCGCCTTAAGTTCCGCCATGAGTTGGGGCACGGAGCTGTGGGTGAGTGCAAGAGAGGGGCGCCCCCCGCGTACCCCAGCTCCTCGGAGCGCGGGCTGGGCGAGCGCCGCCGGCGGGCGGTGGCGAGAGCGCGCCGGGCCGTCTCCGCCTCAGCGCTGGAGGAGGGTCGGGGTCTCTCCGCGCCTCTTTGTGTGCGGAGCCGTCCTCCTGCTCCGCCGGGGTTCGAGGGGGCGGCCAGTGCGAGCTCGCGTCTCCGCGCTCTGGACGGCCGGGGCAGCGGCCCGCGGGCTCCCGAGTCCACAGCGATCGTCCGGTGGCCACTCTCCCGCCTCCGCCTTCACTTTCTGGACGCTTGCCTTGGCGCCGGCCGCTCTTCTCTCCTTTGTAGCCCCCGCCTCCAGGCGGGGGAGGGGGCCCATTGTCCCGAAGGGGCGCTGTTAGCGGGCAGGGAGAGCGAACTTCGCCAGCCCCCGGCTCGCCGAGGGTTTGCGGGGCTGGGGCGGCGCCGATCCGGGCAGCGCGGGGAACCGGGCGGCGCCGGCTCAGTCCCAGGTAGAGGGAGCTGGGCAGCTTTGTTTGGAGCCGGTGCTCCAGCCGGCCAGGCCCAAGCCACACGCCCATTTCCCTCTCCGTGCCTCCTAGCACTGGACTGCATAGCCCCGGCGGACTCCGGCTGCAGCACCCTCACTGCAGTCTGAAGGCTAGTGGGTTGGTTTTTGGCACCTGAATCAGATTAAATGATCTGTGGGGAAAGCTCATTTTGCCGAAAGGAGCGGACGGCTACCCGATTGCTTTATTTCCGTCTGTTTTTTATTCTCACTTGTCCTCCCCTTTTTTCCTCCTTGCTTTTCTTGGGCACTAGAAGCTCCAGACAATGCCCAGTGTCTGGTCGAGGTGCGAGTGAAGGGCAATAGGTCGGAGACTTGGCTCCCGAGGCTGCCCTGGGAGGGTGGAGGGTGGAGGGTGGAGGAGTGGAGGGCAGTGATTTCTCAGGTGCGCGGGGAATTGGCGGCTTGGGGGCGCTGTCCCGAGATCCGCCTGCCCTCGGCCACGCCCCTTTTTAATCTCACCTGTGCATATTTTCCATTCCTTTTGTTTGTGAGAATCATGTGAAATCACTGAAGAGAAAGGGGAAAAGTAACTATTAAGAATGCGTGTACGCAGTTTGGATGAAAATGAAAGCAAATCGGGAAGTGCAGGGCAAAATCCCCACATCACCCATCGTACAGATTGTGAATTTTACAAACTAAAATACTTTAGAGCTTATTTAATTAAATATGTAGTTAGCCAGCCCCCTACATTTCCCTACAACATGCCGGACAATTGTTTAGCTAGTCTATGAACCCATCATCCAGGAGAAAAATACCTTGGTAGCCTCGCCCATTTCTTGATAACATTAATTACTTTAATAATGGGGAGGATAATATGTAAATAAACAATGTAAAATTCAGTCCTTACATTAGATCTGAAGTATTATTGTCCCTTTTACTTTGTACCCTCTATGGTTGATTATAGTGTGTCATCTGTAAACGGAAGTCGATTACTTTATTTTCTGTTTTTCATTATTAAAAGATGTTTGTTTTTACATACTTAAATGATCCTTGCATCCGAGGAAACTAGAAGGTAAACAGATACCTTTTTATTTAAAAATTCAGAATACTTTATAATCCATAGGAAAACAGTAGAGGATTCTTGTTTAGGTTTAACCCAGATTAAAAAATTCACTCTATCACATGGTAGAAAAAGTTTTAAGAAAAAGCAATAAAATATCCTAGTGAATACTACAATGAAATTTTTAAAGTTTTTTTTAAATTAAGGATATAATACATTCAGAAACAATTTCAGTCCTCTAATGCCGCTTGTAATTTATTTACTTTAAGCATTTAAATACTGACAGCAGTTTGAAAAGGTAAACTATAGGAGAGATAGGAATGTGTTCTAATTAAAAATTGTTCTACCACTCCTGAGGCTGAGGTGGGAGATCATAAATTCCTGCCTAGCCTATGAAAATTTAATGAGGTTTTTATCTTAAAAAAAAAACACAGCAGGATGCCACTTCACATTCACTAGAATGGGTCAAATTAAAAGCACAGGCAATAAAACATTGGATGAGGGCTTGGACAACTGGAAATTTAAATTTGACCTAAGTTAATTGGAATTCTAACAGCTGGAACTGTAAGTGTAACAACTTTGGGGAAATGTTTAAAAAGGCCTTAAGAGAATTAAATATACCTAAACCCTACGACCTGAAAGTCTGACTCAAAAGAAGTAAACCCATTTTTTAATCTTTTGATGCTAGGGATTAAAAGCCAGGGCTTTGTGTATGCTAACCACATGCTGTCCCACTAAACTATACTTCCAGCCATAATTAAGCTTTATTAATACTTCAAAACTAAAATATTGCCTGTTCCTGTCAACAGTGAAATGGAAAAATGTCAGTGGAAATAGACATTTAAAAAAAGGGCCACCGCAGCAGGTGCAGTGGCATATGCCTTATAATCCTAGCATTTGGGAAGCTGAGGCAGGAGGATTGCCCAAAGTTTGAGGCTCAGCTGGGCTGCATAGCGACTTCAAATCCAGTCTTAACTACATGAGACCCTGTTTCAAAAACAAAATTTAAAAAATCAGCAGCACAGCCCAGGAGGAGGCTAACGACCCAAAGCTGCATTGATGCGGTTTGAAAACCTAAATGACTTGAATATTTGATACGGAAGAAACAAGCTTAGCTCCTGTCACAGAAACCTTTCTTCTCAACAAAATTAATGTATCTGGCAACTTTTTGCAGGACAGGCACATTTACTGTTATTCATTAACCTGCCCAACATACAGATGCTTCCTGGTCTTTAGATAAATTTATGCTTATAAAGGTTACTATTAAATACTGTTATAATAAAACACCTTAAGTTGAGGCAGGCAGGAATGTAACTCAGTGTTTCCTAGATCAGTCCCTAATCCTGGGGAAAAACAGTTGTTTTATATTTTTTAGAAATCTTGGAAGACTATTTAAATTTTCTCAAATTTTAATACATTTAAAAAAATTCTTAGTTTGAGGACTTGAGGCAAACATTAGAAACTACTTTAGAATCCACTGATACTAACTGGATGTATAAACTAAATTAACAGTAGTTGCTGTAGAGGACTATAGTTGGAAGTAGAAGAAACTTTAGAAAAATTTGACTCAATGTCCTGTTTTCATTGTTCTGTTTTGAATAAGGATATTGTACTCCCAGTGGATTATAATGTAATACAAATACCTATACTGTCCTTTGCCATTGAGAAGTACAGATTTTTGTGTGTGTGTGTGTGTGTGTGTGTGTGGTACTAGGAACTGAACAGGGGCTTTTCATTAAACTACATCACCTGCCTTTTAAAAAGTTTTTTAAATTCTGGGACAGAAGCTCATAAAGGCCTTGCTAAATTGTCCAGGGTGTCCTTGAACACATAGGACTCTTGCCTCAGCCTCTTGAGTTCTGGGATTTCAGACATGTGCTACTAATCTTGGTTTATTTAAAAATTTGCTATCCAGGGATAATTTGGTTGGTTTCTGGGAATTAGAAGGTAGGTTCAAATATCTGATTCAATACATAAGGACATAAAACCTTTTTAATGTCTTAGTTTCCTCTTTAATGGTTGGCCATTAGTTTTAAGAGTATATAATTTAAAAGATACTATTTACATCATATTATTAGCTAACGTCATTTGACAAAACTTATGATACCAGTTGGGAAGACATTGAAAAATGTGTGTTGGGCAATAAATGAGGTACATTCTTTATTTTCTCTTACTTTATTGGTATATTTAGATACACATAGTGATGATCTTCATCATAGGGAATTTGCATCTGTACATCGTATATTCTGCTACTTCATTTTTTTCCCCATTCTCCTCCAGCTTTCTTTTCCTCTTTATTTACAGAAGCTTTGTTTCCATTTTTTCCTTCTATTCTTTTTTTCTTGTCAGGTGCCCTCCCTCCCATTGTTCCCTTCTCACATGAACATTTCTTCCCATTTTCCAGTGTCTATTATACATTTTGGTCCTTATTTACACTTTCAGTTTCTCACACCACAGACACAATGTGGTATTTACACATGTGTATGATTTATTTCACTAAAGAGTATGGTCTCAAGATGCATCCATTTACCTAAAAATGTCTTGAGGTTATCCTTGTTTATGGCAGAGTAGTACACCCTTGCACATCTTTTATTCATCAGCTGATGGGCCTTTGGGCTGTTTCCAAGAGTTAGCTGTTGAAGGCTATGCAGCGATAAGCAACAGTATGCATATCACTGTGGTATGTTCCCTTTAATTCTTTAGGGAAGATATCAAAAAGGGAAATAGCTGGGTCAAATGAGACATCTAGTTTAGTGTTTCCAGGAATCTCCATGCTGATTTCCACAGTACCAGTCTACACTCCCACAAACAGTGGAGGAAGGGCTCCTCTTTCCCCACAACCTGCCAGCATTCGTTATTGGTTGATTTCTTGAAAATCACTATTCTTTCTGGAGGTGGAATCTCAATGTTATAGTTTGCATCTCTTGCATGACCAGTGATGTTGAACTTTTATTAATATATTTATTTGTTATACTTCTTCATCTGAGAAGTGTGTATTCATTTCAGATGCTCATTTTTGGATTGAGTCTTTAAATTTAGAGGGAGGGTCCTGATTGTTTTGAGTTCTTTATGTATTCTAGATGTTAATCCTTTGATGAGGAATAGCTGGCAAACATTTTTTCCACTTTGTGGGGTGTCTTCACACTGTTGGTTGTTTCTTTTGCTATGCAAAAAAAGGTTTTTAATATGAGATCTCAACTGATTTTTGTGACAGCTCTGTGCATTTGGGGTTTTGTTCATAAAGTGTTTCCCTACACTAATGTCTGCAAGAGTTCTACCTAGTCTATCTTATAATAGATTGTGTCTGTTTTAATAGTAAGATTTTTGATCCTTTTGATTTTAATTTACTGCACGGTGAAAGATAAGGGTCTAGTTTTAATCTTTGGCATGTGGAAAGCCAGTTTTTTTAGCACCATTATTGAAGAGGCTCT